GTGAGTTCTAGTCCCACTTTAGGCATGAAAGCCAGCTGAGTGACTTTGGGCCAATCACCAGGAGACGGTGAGTTCTAGTCCTGCCTTAGGAATGAAAGGTGGCTGGGTGACTTTCGATCAATCACCAGGAGACAGTGAGTTTTAATTTCACCTTCGACATGAAAGCTGGCTGGGTGCCTTTGGGCCCATCACCGGGAGATGATGAGTTCTAGTCCACTTTAGGCAGGAAAGCCAGTTGGGTGACTTTGGGTCAATCACCAGGAGACGGTGAGTTCTAGTCCCGCCTTAGGCATGAAAGCGGGTTGGGTAACTTTGGGTCAATCACCAGGAAACGGTGAGTTCTAGTCCCGCCTTAGGCATGAAAGCGGATTGGGTAACTTTGGGCCAATCACCAGGAGTCAGTGAGTTCTAGTCCCGCCTTAGGCATGAAAGCGGATTGGGTAACTTTGGGCCAATCATCAGGAGACGGTGAGTTCTAGTCCCACCTTAGGCATGAAAGCGGATTGGGTAACTTTGGGCCAATCACCAGGAGATGGTGAGTTCTAGTCCACTTTAGGCAGGAAAGCCAGCTGGGTGACTTTGGGCCAATCACCAGGAGATGGTGAGTTCTAGTCCTGCCTTAAGCATGAAAGCCACCTGGGCGACTTTGGGCCAATCACCAGGAAACAGTGGCTTAAACTCCCCCAGCCGGCTTTCCTGCCTAAGGTAGGACTAGAACTCACGTCTTTCTGTCTTTTAGCCAGGCGCCTTCACCACTGGACCAAACTGGCTGTTTCTTTCTTGCTACCAAGTTGAGATTCTCAAAGCTTGGAGGTTTCCCCGTGCAAAGCTGAGCGGAGGGTTTCGGGCTGTTCGGTTCCCTTCTGTTGACGGTCTCCCCTCCTTCTCTTGTTCTCAGGTACACTGTCTCCAAATACATCTCTATCACTTTGGTCTCTCTGGGCATTTTCACCTGTACTCTCATGTCAGCCAAAGAACTGGTAAGTCCCGTTTTTTCTCCCTGTTGAATACCTGCTGTGTCTTCCAAGACGAGACGTGCATCCCAGCATATGCCCCACAGTCAGAGGTGGGCTCCTGCTGGTTCGCACCGGTTCTGACGGACCGGTCGTTAAGATTAGGCGCAGTTGGGCGAGTTGGCAAATCCCACCACCAGCCCATTTTTCGGCCTGTTTTTTGGGGCCGTTTTCAGATCATTTTTCAGACTGTTTTCGGCCATTTTGGGGACCAAAAACAGCCTGAAAACAGCCCACAAATCAACCCCAAATGGCCTGGTTTAGTTCACTTGTGACTATGTAAGGATTCTAAGGCCGGTGCCTCTTTTCACTCCACCCCCAGATTCTGTCCTTCTTTCTCCTAAAGACAGTATGGGCCTGGCCTTTTGCCCTTCCCCTACATATTGTCATCCGAAGGCAGCTAGGAAGCCCCTCCCCTGTGAAACACCCCCTGAAATTTGACCCCCCCACCATCCTTTTCGTTTTCCATAAAGTTTTGAAGACTCGTCTTTTTCCCTTAAGAGCCAGGATAAAAGACAATACGATGATTGTTTGTGTGGCCTTTCTTGTTATGAACTTTGTGCTTTATTTTTATGACACCTTTTGTTTTTTAAATGTTGTTTTAAATTTTGATTGGCAGCCGCCCAACGTCGGTCATATTTCTGTATGGCAGCATGTTATCAGTGCCAAAAATAAATTCAACGACCAAAGAACCATAAAAAAAACTTATTTATTCAGAGATCTGCAAATATTGGAATAGGACTTCATCTCCTTAACATCAGGAGTATGAAAACCCCACACCTAAAGTGGATATTACATTTATAGGGTTGTGTATACATACTTCACGTCATTCTTCCTGTTACTCTCTTTTGGTAAGTCTAGGGACTTTCTCTAGATATTTTTCCATTAACTCTTCCCAGACTGTCATCTCCTGGAAACCACCTCATTCTCATGGCTGCTTCTTCCTGTTATGACCATCTGGGTAATTTTGTAATACAATAGATAATTAACCAATTCTGTTCAGTTAGGATGAACCAAGATCTTTTCATATATATGCACTGCCAAAAATATTACAGTCCCATGTTCCAGCCAAAAAATTGACATTTTCTGCAGAACATAACAAACCACGGAACATAACAAGCTTATTTGTTATTGTGATGACCCAGGGCGTGGCACAAAAATAACAAAGTCACCAAAGTAGATAAATTCCCTTTAATGCCTCCAACTTGACCCACAATGTCCAATTATCCTCGGCGGGAGATCAAACTCTTCCAAAAACAGTACAAAGGAAAGAAATGCAGTCCGAACCCAAAGATAAAGTAGAAATAAAGCAACACAAACCACGCTGAAGTAATTAACACGACAAACCAGGATAATAACTTGCAGATTGCCAAAAGATAACGAGGCACGCACAGTTGGGAGGAAGCCAAAACCCAGATAAGCCTCGACAAAGATAATGCATGCTTTGCTTCCAGCAACTTTGCCATGTGCAGTTTGCCCTTTTAAACAGTCTTCCCAGCTGCAGCCCATGAAGGGGATCAGGGCCCTTTCCTCCACTGTAAACCATGTTGCTCCCTTATCTGTTCCTCCCTGTGAGCCCTAGGATGAAGACGGGGTGGGCCTGGGTCTTCCTCTGAATTCCCAGCCGGCCTGTGCCCTTCCCCGGTTTCCTCCACAGCCACCGGAGCCACACTCCCACTCCCTGTCAGCTGTTCAACCTCCTCCTTGGAATCAGACTCCAACAGGGGCATGACAGTTATAGTTAAATAACAGTCCAGTAAAATTCCAGCATAGTTCAGAAATCAGATAAATATGGCATTACTCATGGTTCTCATTTTCACAGGTGTAACTCTTAATATGTAATTCATACATATCACACAGTAGAAGGACATTGGCAGCAAACTGGCTCTTCCCCCTCTTTGTGGTTTCATCGTTTACCTGGCCAGGTGGGCCAGGGCCAGCCCAGAATAGCTTAAACCCAGTCAGGTAGACCACCTGGTCTAGTTTGTTTTGTTTTTGGAATGTTTTCGTGACTTTTTCAATGGATTTTAAAGCTGGAACATTGCACCTGTGTGCAGAAAAGGCCAGGGGAGTCATTAAAAAAAAATAAGAAAAGCGGGGGAGGCTCTCATTTTTTTCCTATTTGAATTTTCTCTCTGTTTAAGTTGATTTATTGGTCCGCAAAGCAATTCCAACAGCAGAGGGTAAAAAAAAACAAACATTAAATACAACTAAGACAAATATAATAAAAGCAAATCAAAGTCCCCGAGGACTTGCCCAGTTAAAAAATTGGCAGGTAGAGAAAGTTACGGAGACCGAAGGGAAAGAAAGAAAAAAGAACAAGGAGAGGAAATGAGAATTTGAAACCCAAGAACTAAAAGGGTTCGTGTTCTTACGATCACACAGCTTCGCCCTCGACTTTACAACTGCAATTCAGCCCAAAATTTATGTTGTTAAGCAAGACGGTTAACTTTCCCCCCCACCTTTTATGGTTGTAAGTGCAGAAAAAAACCCGGCCCTCAGTCCCTTTTTTCGGTGCTGTTATGGCTTCGAACGGTCACTTGAGCGAATTGTTGGAAGTCGACTGCCTGGAGCGGCCGGTCAGAAGCCGCCATCTTTTCTGGAGATCATGAGGACTAGCGTGAGAGCAGGGAGGAGGGAAAAGGGAGAGGGGTGCTGAGGTCTCGCA